CCCCAGAGATGCTCATGCGACTCCGTGAGTCACCAATAGTGAGGGCAGATGCTATCTGATCTCACCACGAATTCTCGCTCAGCAATATCCAAAACGGGCCAGTATCAACACGATGCATGATAGGACGCTAGTGAAGCCTTTGCATTACTGGTTAAACCAGGCTACCAACAGTAACTTCAAGTCACTAACTTATCATCTCGGCTTAATTACAAATACTCCGAGCAATAACAACGATTATCCTTAACGGATGTTTTTGGGAAATCTCAAGGGATCAAAATGTTTCCCTATTGGAGGTTGATCGATACCATTCAGCTAGTATGAGTCACACTCGTCTTCTCTTCGGCGGCTGACATCGAGGGCAATACCATCTTGACTTCTCATCGGCAACGTCAGGAGGTGCGATACCGGAAGCTCGAGCCCATGCCTCTGCACAGTCTATATGCCACCACCGAGCCCATCCTCTACCAGAAGCACACTTTCTACTCGAGCACTTCACCGAGTCAGTGTCAAAGATACCACCACAGCAACCAGCAACTTTGGTCAACGAAGTGCGTTTGTCGGTGGAACAGGCCGCAGGAGCGATGTGCGGTGGCCACTCGAATTCGTCTAAGCCAAGCTGGCGTGCCTGTGCTTGTTCAGTTCGTCGCTGTTCACCCAGATAACGACCAACTCCATATCGAGTTTGCGATGGTAGAGTATGCGAAATTCGACCGTTACGATCTCTAGTTGACGCACGCTCCATTCGAGCCGTGAGCCTTTGCCAGGTTACATCCTCATCTTCACCAATGTACCGATGCAGAGTGACAATGTGCATACATTTCCCAGAGTGGATGTAGTCCAGGCAAGTGCAGTAGGGGCCACCATCTAGCACACTGCAAGCCGGATCTGTGCTCGACTCATAAGAGACAATGTGAATGCAAGAGATGAACTTTTTAGCCTCGGCTAGAGATGAAAAGGCACCAGAAATCCGGCTCGTCACCCGGGGATCCTGCATCACGAATTCAACGAGTTCGGCGTTCGAGGAGAGGCCACCGAAAGAATCACGCTCTGTGAATAGGTAATGCTGCTTCTTCTCTCCCAAAAAGTGGCTCACCCTACGACAGTTGTTACCACCAGAGCAGCCTCGTTTGGAGCAGCCTCGCAAATCTTCCGGCAAACTGTCCCAGACCGGCGAAGTTGGGAGGTTACGGTTCAACTTGGCAAATGGACCGCATCGCAGCGACTCTCTCTTATCGCTGTCCGTGATCACGCGACGAGTGGCTACCGTCTTATTATGAGCGGAGATTTGCTCCCAGTCAGCCGTCTTCAGTGCCCAGATAAGTTGCAGAAGAGTTAGTGTACATTTACGCTTCAACATAGCATCTTTTATCACTCTGTGGAAGCTTTCGAGACCATTTGTTGTTCTACCCCCCCAGATGGTCAGAGAAGCAATACCCCCACCTAGAGCGGAACGATCCGTCGTCGAGCCAACCGCCTCTCTGAATCTCCTCGAGGAGTCCCTGCGCTGCCCTGTCACCCAGATCTTCCCACTTCTTCTTCAGTAACCATCTCAGTATGCGAAACTCGTGAAGAGAGTGCCCGAGAGCTACTAGTCGAAAGTCGTCCTTGATTGCTCGCCACATCGAGTTCGCCATATTGACCTTCTTATTCTTCAGACACTGCATGAAGTGAAAGTAGCAGCACTGTATGGCAAGCCTAGTTTCCCCAGCATAGATAGTTTCTGTCGCCGCCCTCAGAGCCGAAGAACCATCCTGCATGATGTGCGTGATCACAGGCGGTGGTAAGCCTATCTCGGATACGAGATCCTGGAGCTGTGTCAGAGCCACCGTGATGCTCCTTTCGCTCTCAGATAATATGAGAGAGAGGAGAATAGGTTTTGATGCTCCTCCTGGAAGCATGCTGGCAACTGATAATATGGTGCAACGCCCAGATACCACATTAAAAGTACAGTCGAGCCCAATCCTAGACGTCGACAAGTAATTCGCCAACATGAGAGGACTGGTGAAGCTCACCGCCATAACGCTTAATTTATTGGTACCACTTTCAGTGCACACTACAGGCGCGTTGGTCGGTATGCACATATTCTCCAAGTCCCGCAACTGTGCATCTCCAGGCCTCCCATAACCACCGTTAGACCGAAGGATTGCGTCCACTACGCTCCTAACCACCTGGGGATCCACAGAGCTCCGCAAGGCCTGGACTTCTTGGAGGAAGGCGTCGACGTTAAGGCCCACTTTCTTCCTCTTGGTGATGGAGCTAATCATGTTCCTCACATTGCCTTGAAGGTTCAGATGGTGAGGATCATCATTCTGCTTATCAAGCCACTGCCTATCCCGGTCACTCAGAACTCCTTTTCTCCGTTGCTCATACCAGAGTGTTCTTATCGATGCCGGCGTCTCGGTAGGGTTCTCACTAAGCCTCTCGGCGGCCATGTCAACAAGAGTGGGCGGTATAGAGCATGAACGACATTCAAATGTACCGAATGGATGAGCGTGCTCTAGCCACTCTCGTCGGCTCTTGCTTGCTGCTCTCAGGCCATAGAAGTAACATCTCATTTCAGACATGTTTGTAGTCGGCCCCGACTGAACGACCAAGATGGAGGCCATGTCACAGGTATCCTCAGGCCACAAACTCCAGGAGGGTTGTGGCCGAGAAGAAGGCGCGATCGACGACGTTGATGCTCGCCGGGCACAGACCAGCTCGCATCGTGAACGACTTTCCCAGCGGCTCTTGCATCTTCGCCAGAAGGGTTTTCGTTCGAGGTATCCAACAACCACATGGTCAAGATCCCCCCGCTCCGTATAGAATGCGAAGGGTTCCCATTTGGGATCTTGCTCGCCGAGATGTTCATTTGGATCTGGAGTATGTGACATATCATGATCATTAAAAGCATGCTCAAGACCATCGGATACATCTGAGACACCTTCCCAGCTATCGTCTGAGGCCTCGGAGGAGGTATCTGAGTTACAATCCAAAGGTAAGCTGCCATGTTGCCTCATATTCTTCATGTCTGATTATCACCTTCAGGTCCAGGCCCAGTTGTGTTTTCTTGTATACTATTGCCTGGTTCCGAGATGGCTGAAATTAACAAAGTTCGTCCCGTTATGCTGGTGCAGTTCCCTAGTTGTCACCTTCAGGTGCAGATCCAACTGTATCTCCTTGCATTGTATTGTTTGATTCTGAAGTGCCTGAAATCAGCAAGGTAAATTCTGTTATGCCGTTGCAGTTCCGTAATTGTCACCTTCAGTTGCAGGCCCAGCTGCATCCTCTTGCATTGTATTGTTTGATTCTGAAGTGCCTGAAATCAGCAAGGTAAGTTCTGTTATGCCGTTGCAGTTCCGTAGTTGTCACCTTCAGGTGCAGGCCCAGCTGCATCCTCTTGCATTGTATTGTTTGATCCTGAAGTGCCTGAAATCAGCAAGGTAAGTTCTGTTATGCCGTTGCAGTTCCGTAGTTGTCACCTTCAGGTGCAGGCCCAGCTGCATCCTCTGGCATTGTAGTGTTTGATTCTGAAGTACCTGAAATCAGCAAGGTAAGTTCTGTTATGCCGTTGCAGTTCCGTAATTGTCACCTTCAGTTGCAGGCCCAGCTGCATCCTCTTGCATTGTAGTGTTTGATTCTGAAGTACCTGAAATCAGCAAGGTAAGTTCTGTTATGCCGTTGCAGTTCCGTAATTGTCACCTTCAGTTGCAGGCCCAGCTGCATCCTCTTGCATTGTATTGTTTGATTCTGAAGTGCCTGAAATCAGCAAGGTAAGTTCTGTTATGCCGTTGCAGTTCCGTAGTTGTCACCTCCAGGTGCAGGCCCAGCTGCATTCTCTTGCATTATATTGTCTGATTCTGAAGTGCCTGAAATCAGCAAGGTGAGTTCAGTTATGCTGTTGCAGTTCCGGAGTTGTCACCTTCAGGAGCAAAAAGTGCATCCTCTCGTATAGTACCGCTTGGATCTCCGGCTCGATGCACTTGAAAGCCTTCGTGGAAAGGAGTATAGGACGTGTTACTGGGTGGTGCTCTGGTATCCGCCGACGCATAGAGATTGCCCTGGGCATACTCTTGAAGACGGTTGACCTCTGTTAGCGCGTCCCCAGGGGGAGCTGTCAGCAGAGAGACGAAATTGCCATGCCTTTCTCTCGCCATGGCTAGTAATGCATCAACTCTAGCTCGCTGTTGCTGATTATACTCGGACGCACCCACTGAGACGGCTTCGACATCGCCCAGCAACCCGGTTTGCGAGGCGTTCACCATAACATTGACGGTTATATCCCGCACCACCTTCGTCAAATGCTCAGTTTGTCGTCGCATTTCAGCCCTCATAAACCGCAACATATCTACCCAATTACCGCCTCGATCCTCACTATCTGTCCTGGACTCCTGCCCTCTACATGGCGGTGACTGAGTTTCCGATACTCCCTCCCCATTCGCCGAGGATCGAAGCCTGTCTTGCTGCTTACATAGATCATCGTAGACCCTGGCAGATGGAGAATACCGCACTTTTGAACAAAATTGCTTAGTACCAACATACTTGAGGTAGATGCAGTTCGAAGATGCCACTCGCGTCATCATTGTGTATAGGCACCCATGCAACCAGGGTTCGTTCATGGAGACCGCTAAATCTTTATGAATGGATCTAGCTTGTCTCGGCAATGGATCACCTTTAGCCAGGTCAACAACTATGGCTCTTAGTGTGCAGCCTATGACTTTATGGCAGGTCACTGCCGCGCCTAGTTCCAGGGGAAGATTGGTGCGCTGGAGCAGAAGCTTCCCATCGGCGTCCTTGACTTCTTGTCGTAAAGGACAGATCTCCACTACCTCGTCGGTGCGGTCCAAACGAATTTTGACCCGCGGGTGTTGCCTTTGGTCGTCTGGTATGATAGAGACGCCAGGTTCAGCATTGACGAACTCGACTACCTCTCCGAAGTCGCCGTTGAAAGCTATTCCCGGGATATTCGTGTTCACTAAAGCCCGACATCCCTTCTTCAGTTTGACTTCTCCCTTCACAGTAAAGTTATCGCTGAACTCACCGGGGTCTCCGAGGAAAGACTCAGAAGCCTGGAACGTTCTGGTAGGCTCACCAATTGACGCCAAATGCTTATCGTTGATAGCATGAGCGCGGCTCCTATAGATGCAGAGAGCAGTCCATCCTGCTTCGTGTTCACCTTCGCGGTCTTGTAGTTTAGAAACCAGCTCTGCTGACCTTTCGGAGAGCGAGGCATTCCCATCCAAAGTCCTCATTTCAGCCAATAAGGTGAGGTAGTCTGTGTCAGTCCCAACTCCGTCACGTGGCCGAGGCCGCCTTCCGCGCAATCCGGGTCTGCTCTCAGGAACTTCGCGGCATCCACGTAGAAATGAGGTCAAGTAATATTTCCTCAAGTCAAGCTTCTTCCACACAGCCGAATCCCACACAGGAAGTACGGGTAGCCCACCAAACATACCATGACGAGATGGTTCGGCACCACGCAGCTGTAGGACATCCCCACAGAATATGAAAGGAACAGAACCGAAAACCACCTGTGTTTGCCTGACCTTCCGCAGAAGGATATCAAGGCCTTCGAGCACCGTATTATGTAATGTTACAACTTCGTCAAAAGCTAGGATCGTTGGCCTATCCACGTTGAATATGCTCAGGCACTTCTTGCGACGTAAGCCTGCTTCCATTTGAGTCGCCACCTCGTTCGCATCTCGCATATACGAGTTGTCGAAAGGCTGGTGGTTACTGGTGTCGAATTCCAAGCCAAAAAAGCCCATCAGAGTCGTACCATTTGCGATATTGGCAGCTAATCCTGTTGCCGATATTACATAGACATCGAAGCCGTCCACACGCAATCTCGATACCGTCTCTCGGAGGAGAGTCGTTTTCCCAGAGCCCGCCAAGCCCGTGATGAAATGATGCCTACCGGAAGCAGCAGATCCGCTTTTGATGTCATGTACAATTTCTCGCAAGGCAACTCTTTGTTGGTGGTTCATGAGCCTGATGTCACGAACTGAAGGCGAATACATATGAGGCTGACTGAGGTTCTCGAAGCTTGTGAGATTTGAACTTATGGATTCAACTGGTCGAGTTGATAATTAAATTATCATAATTTACAACACAACACCTTGGTCAGCAACAATCAACTTACATTACTGATGACAGCACGCTAGCAACAGAGGTTTGGACTACTACAGCAATAACAACAGTGGTTTGGTTGTGGTTAGGGCTACTACAGCAATAGCAACAGTGATTTGGGCTACTACAACAATAACAACAGTGGCTTGGGTGTGGTTGGGGCTATAACAACAATAGCAACAGTGGTTTGGGCTACTACAACAATAACAACAGCGGTTTGGGTGTAGTTGGGCCTATTACAACAACAGCAACAGTGGTTTGGGCGACTACAACACTAGCAACGGTGGTTTGGACTACTACAGCAATAACAACAGTGGTTTGGTTGTGGTTAGGGCTACTACAGCAATAGCAACAGTGATTTGGGCTACTACAACAATAACAACAGTGGCTTGGGTGTGGTTGGGGCTATTACAACAATAACAACAGTGGTTTGGGCTACTTCAACAATAACAACAGTGGTTTGGGCTACTACAACAATAACAACAGTGGCTTGGGTTACTACAACACTAGCAACGGTGGTTTGGACTACTACAGCAATAACAACAGTGGTTTGGTTGTGGTTAGGGCTACTACAGCAACAGCAACAGTGGTTTGGGCTACTACAACAGCATCATCATCAGTGTGTGTGTAACTAGAGAGAGAGACCGTGACGCCATGTGCGTATTACGGTCAGATGTACCCCAAAAGGGCAGTTAGATACCCATCATACCAACCAGTCTTGTGTCATCAACCGGACCAGAGCCAGTTGCTCCAGCACAGAGGCTACATCATCAGTAGCGTCATCAGTAGCATCATCAGAGCATCATCAGTAGTTGGGGCTATCACAACAATAACAACAGTGGTTTGGTTGTGGTTAGGGCTACTACAGCAATAGCAACAGTGATTTGGGTCTGGTTGGGGCTATAACAACAATAGCAACAGTGGTTTGGGCTACTACAACAACATCAGCAGTAGTTGGGGCTATCACAACAATAGCAACAGTGGTTTGGGTGTGGTTGGGGCTATTACAACAATAACAACAGTGGTTCGGGCTACTACAACAATAACAACAGTGGCTTGGGTGTGGTTGAGGCTATAACAACAATAGCAACAGTGGTTTGGGCTACTACAACAATAACAACAGTGGTTTGGGTGTGGTTGGGGCTATAACAACAATAGCAACAGTTGTTTGAGCTACTACTACAACATCAGCAGTAGTTGGGGCTATCACAACAATAGCAACAGTGGTTTGGGTGTGGTTGGGGCTATTACAACAATAACAACAGTGGTTTGGGCTACTACAACAATAACAACAGTGGTTTGGGCTACTACAACAATAACAACAGTGGTTTGGGTGTGATTGGGGCTATAACAACAATAGCAACAGTGGTTTGGGCTACTACAACAACATCAGCAGTAGTTGGGGCTATCACAACAATAGCAACAGTGGTTTGGGTGTGGTTGGGGCTATTACAACAATCACAACAGTGGTTTGGGCTACTACAACAATAACAACAGTGGTTTGGGTGTGGTTGGGGCTATAACAACAATAGCAACAGTGGTTTGGGCTACTACAACAACATCAGCAGTAGTTGGGGCTATCACAACAATAGCAACAGTGGTTTGGGTGTGGTTGGGGCTATTACAACAATAACAACAGTGGTTTGGGTGTGGTTGGGGCTACTACAACAATAACAACAGTGGTTTGGGTTACTACAACAATAACAACAGTGGTTTGGGTGTGGTTGGGGCTATAACAACAATAGCAACAGTTGTTCGGGCTACTACAACAGCATCAGCAGCGGTTCGGGTTACTACAACTATAGCAACAGTGGCTTGGGTGTGGTTGGGGCTATTACAACAATAGCAACAGTGGTTTGGGCTACTACAACAATAACAACAGTGGTTTGGGTTACTACAACAATAACAACAGTGGTTTGGGTGTGGTTGGGGCTATAACAACAATAGCAACAGTTGTTCGGGCTACTACAACAGCATCAGCAGCGGTTCGGGTTACTACAACTATAGCAACAGTGGCTTGGGTGTGGTTGGGGCTATTACAACAATAGCAACAGTGGTTTGGGCTACTACAACAATAACAACAGTGGTTTGGGTGTGGTTGGGGCTATAACAACAATAGCGACAGTGGTTTGGGCTACTACAACAACATCAGCAGTAGTTGGGGCTATCACAACAATAGCAACAGTGGCTTGGGTGTGGTTGGGGCTATTACAACAATAACAACAGTGGTTCGGGTGTGGTTGGGGCTATTACAACAATAACAACAGTGGTTCGGGCTACTACAACAGCATCAGCAGCGGTTCGGGTTACTACAACTATAGCAACAGTGGTTTGAGCTACTACAGCAATAGCAACAGTGTTTTGAGCTACTACAGCAATAGCAACAGTGGTTTGGGCTACTACAACAGCATCATCATCAGTGTGTGTGTAACTAGAGAGAGAGACCGTGACGCCATGTGCGTATTACGGTCAGATGTACCCCAAAGGGGCAGTTAGATACCCATCATACCAACCAGTCTTGTGTCATCAACCGGACCAGAGCCAGTTGCTCCAGCACAGAGGCTACATCATCAGTAGCGTCATCAGTAGCATCATCAGAGCATCATCAGAGCATCATCAGTAGTTGGGGCTATCACAACAATAGCAACAGTGGTTTGGGTGTGGTTGGGGCTAGTACAACAGTAAAACAACAGTGGTTTGGGCTACTACGACAATAGCAACATCAGCAGCGGTTTGGGACACTACGACTATAGCAACAGTAGTTTGGGCTACTACAACAGCATCAGCAGTAGTTGGGGCTATCACAGCAATAGCAACAGTGGTTTGGGTGTGGTTGGGGCTACTACGACAATAACAGATAATATGACTTTACTTAGATAACTACTATGTACTGCCGGGATACTCACTGCCCCCAGATAACAACAAGACAATTGTTCAAGAGCAACGAAAACCGCGCAGGTGTGAAGGACGTCCCACCTAGTGGGATCCCTCAGAGGCACAAAACTCACTGCCTCGATCCAGGAATCATGAGCTGGCGCAATCTAGCTGATAATCCACTGATGACAATATCACTGCGGTGCTTAGGAGGATTATCGGTATAAACGTGTCGCGAGTGTACATGAGGAATGATTCGGCCGTCCAACTCACTGATTAGCATCGCTGTCCAACCGGCTAATGGCCCGCTACTCACGTGCCGACTTGCGTGAAGATTTCCGTACTACTAGAAACTCAAGGCGAATCAGACTAAAAAATCAACAAGTGTTAAAATACATGCACGTAACTGCTGTTTGAGAGTATCCAGTATTGAGTTCGTAGAGATCAGAGTTCTGGACATATAAACGAAGGTATCACAGAGCATTGTCTCAACACTGATGCATCAGTCTGATGCACCCCAGGTGCGCTACCAAATGAGGTTTAAACACTCAAGAGAACACGCTTAATCGCGTGATGGATTGTAATTGCTCGAAAGGAATATAGCAATACCTGCACTCAAGTAGAGCCCTCTGATTTAGATGACCCTTGGACAGCTTATGATATATTATCAATAAATATACGCTATGATGAGAAATAAATATACGTCCAGTAGATTAGACATATCACACCCCTCTCCGGAGAATCTCAGTATAATTGGTTCCTGCGTAGTTGTTCTACACTGAAAATACTGATGATATGTAATACTTTATTGCATAGATGTGTGATGCGCTTACATTGACTGATGCTCAGGTGGTAAAGGGTGATTGACAAAGGGATCCGATGGCTTACAGTGAACCAGTCTATCTGGACCGGAGAAGAGAATAACAAGGAGCGGTCATAAGCTGACATCCAGAGAGATGCGAATCTACTTCGACATAGCTTCCCACCGTCTCTCCGGCACGACTCTGAATTTCAGAGTCTGAAACGTTCAACCTACGTACGCGTGCGAGGACAATGGTTGTGCAAAGTGCAGGAAACTTGAGCGCGGCAGGGGTAGCATCCCCATGCCTGTGTAACACTTGCGCATTTGATCTATCTTGCATTAGTGATGCTTTTAGAGATAGAGCACACCGATATAACGTCAGTGGTCAAGTGTACAAACAATTCCTGCGTATGTTTGAGTCCGATTTGTAAAACGGGGTCACTCTGTGCTCACTTTTGACTCCAGTAGCACAATCCACAAGCAATTGATTGTCGTATAGCCCTTGACTGGGATCCTGAGAGTAGTAGGCGGCCGTAGGCCGCCGTTGGGAAATTTGGGTAGTGTGAATGGGGAAAGGTCTGGCCGTGGTGCTAGTGAGCCCGCATATTGGTTGTGGAGAGCCCTGTGGCCCTTCGCCGAGGTGAGTTTTTGGTTTCGAAATCTGTGATAGACGAAATAGCTGACGACCGCTAGCCCAGCAGTGGTAATGGCCGCCACTGGTAACGCATAATGATCTGCTACGCCAGCTGGCATCAGTAAATTGAGGAAGAGATGAGTAAAACCCCAGTAAGATAAACGAATCCTGATAACACCAATAACAATGGAACGAGCGTCGACGCCAACAACGCTTGTACACTCATCTAGCAACTCCACTACTCGATTGGATCTACCGACATTGATATATGTCCTAGTGTAGCCCAGAACAAATTGTTATAGCCCCATCACAAACGTTGTTATTAATTCCACTCGTGGAATTATTTTCTCTGTGAAAACAGTTGTGAATAAATTACCCACTTTTACATCGTCCTATCAAAATTACTGTACTAAGGCATATCTTGGGGACCCCAAGTTGGGGTAGTGGCAGAGGCGCCCCGTCCGATGGATTCAATTGTACTGAGCCATATATTGG